GCTACTGCTGCTGAGGCTCAAGCGTCCGCTGCGTGCTCTTGCGAGGTTGCATGCCGCTGGACCATCCTTTTTTCTTCTTTGTTTTACTGACGAGCGAGTTCAAGATTGTACATCGGGCCATCTCCAATCGTTCATACACGGGCTTCATTATCATCCGCTGCCCGTCTCTCGGATTCAACAAAACATCGACAACGGCCTCACAACAAAGCAACGCCGGCGTCTCTCTCTCTCTCAGCTGCTCTCGCCGGCTCCGCAGCGATCCGTCGAACTGACCCCTAGTGGGCCGGCCATCACGCGTAGCAACGCGGGAAGGATGTCGTCGGCTGCTCTCCAAACGGCCCCTCCTCACCAGCCAACCGCGTTGTCGTCTTCTCTGCCAACCTCCAACCGCCAGTACACGCAGACGCACTCTTCCCCCAATCGGGAAATCCACAATGCCCAGAGCGCATCAACACCACCATCGTCCAGGCGTCCTCCCTCTCGCAAGTCCAGCGGCCCAGGCGCCGCCGTTGCATCCGACACCAGCGCTCCAGTAAACTCCCGCATTCCCACCAGCGCGACTCGTGCGGCCGACCAGCACTCGAGGGCTGACCGCCTGTCGACTGCGCCCGTCGCCCCTCCACGAACCTCGTCCAACAATCCCGCCCACTCGAGCGACAAGATGAACAATTCACCGCGCCGTGCCCAGCCCGATGGCTCGCGGATCGCCTCTCGCGGTGACACAAACGGCGCCGCCGACCAGGCCAGGAGCAAGAGGGCTCAGAGTTACCACATGCCGCAGGATTCGGCCTCAGCCCAGCCCGCCAGCACTCGGGCCAGCCATGCCGCCGAAGCTCACTCTTCCATCCCCATCCCCATCCGCACTCATCAGACAGCAACAAACTCCAAGCCCTCGCGTGAGGCCAGCGAAAGCCTCAACCGGGTCATTTCCAACGGCGAAGAGGCAAACGGCCAAAGCGCCGCCTACCACAACTCATCCCACCACGACGACGATCCAGCGGCACCTCCCCCCGTTGTATCCATGAATGCAGGCTCCGAGGAGCGACGAGGTGGCCGAAGCCGACACGACCATAGTCGCAACAACAAGGCAACCACCAAGTTTGGCGACTTTATCTTGGGAAATACCATTGGTGAGGGAGAGTTTGGCAAAGTAAAGCTGGGATGGAAGCAGGATAGCAACGTGCAGGTGAGTTTTGCTTGTTCCCGTCACCTGCAGTACCTGGCAAGGGCGTCTTTGAGAAGCTGGGCAATGCTAACGAAATTTACAGGTTGCCATCAAACTTATCAAACGAGATACCGTTGGCCATAACCCGTCGCGGCTGGCCAAGATTAAGCGCGAAGTCACCATTCTCCGCGGCATTCACCACCCCAACATTGTGCGATTGATAGACATGGTTGAAACCGATAGATACATTGGCATTATTCTCGAGTATGCATCTGGAGGCGAGCTCTTTGATTACATCTTGAATCATCGTTATTTGAAAGACAACTCAGCACGCCGTCTCTTCTCCCAGTTGGTCTCCGGAGTAGGCTACCTCCACAAGAAGGGCATCGTTCATCGTGACCTCAAGCTGGAAAACTTGCTCCTGGATCGCAACCGAAACATCATCATCACTGACTTTGGCTTTGCCAACACATTTGACCCCCACGACGAGTTGACCGAGGAGGAAGAGCTTAATCTGTCGGACCGTGAATATGTCAAGAGGCTGGGTATCGACAAGGTGAAGCCCAACGGTATGCGCAAAGGCGATTTGATGCAGACGAGCTGTGGAAGCCCTTGCTATGCTGCGCCCGAGCTTGTGGTGAGCGATTCGCTGTATACCGGAAGAAAGGTTGATGTGTGGAGCTGCGGTGTCATTTTGGTAAGTGTCAAAGTCTCAAATTCTTGCAATTTTTTTTTTCCGTCTCAGGTCGCTAATGAGTCTTTGAACAAATAGTATGCCATGCTTGCTGGCTATCTGCCTTTCGACGACGATCCTGCTAACCCAGAAGGCGATAATATCAACCTTCTGTACAAGTACATTGTCTCGACGCCACTCACATTCCCCGAATACGTTACACCTCATGCTCGAGATCTCTTGAGGCGAATTCTCGTACCGAACCCGAGAAAGCGAGCTGATTTGTTCGAGGTGGCCCGCCACAGCTGGCTGAGCGAGTATGCTCACGTTGTCGAGTTCATCACAAGCTCGACCACTTCGCCATCCGAAGTCCAAAGTGTCAGCGCCACGGGCTCAGACTATGCCGAGGCTCCCATGGTTACGAGGAGCGCCTCTGTTCGCGAAGCGCCGAAGCAAAAGTCTCCCCAGTCCGCTGTTGTGGGTGGTCTGGCAAAGACACACGGCAAGATCGACTCTCCTCCCGAAACTACCCAGCGCACATCCAAGGACGCCAAGCGCCGTACCGTCCAGGTCGAATACGTTGCGCCCGTCACTCAGACGCAACGTGGTGGCTCCGAGGAAATGTCCAGGCATCAGGTTCGGCCAACTTCTCGACACCACCACGAGACAGAAGATTTATCGCTGGACGACAGACGACCACAGTCAAAGAGGGGGCCAGCTACGGCGCAGACAAGCGGAATTCCTCAGCCAACACGCCCTGTGCGGGACGTTCGTGCGGCTACCGACAACAATTATGCCATTGGTGTTCCCGTGGCGACCGCTCGTCCCCGTACTGGCAACTCTATGCAGTCTGCCACTTCTCTTGGCTTACAGTCTGGAGGCAACTATGGTCAACCTGTTCCCCCTACCATCGCAGATACCAACGTCCAAGGCCGCATTCAGCAGCCTTCCAATGCCAATGAGGATGACGCTCTAGGGCGAACTAGCACCAACGTTCCCCCCAAGTTTGCGCGGATGTCAGGCTTTCATGAGCCTAAGAGCAGTGATGGAAAGGGACACAAGAGGTCCAACACGATAGGAGAAATCGGCTCCAAGCTTTTGGGCCGCAGCGGATCGATGTTTGGGCGCAAGGGAAAGAAGACGGAGCAGCCCAACGAAAAGGCCAAGAAGTATCCCCCCATCAGCATGGCCAATTCGGGCATGGCTGCGGGAGAGGAGCCTCGTTCGCGACCTTCGATCGATTCCAAGGCATCTCGTCGTTCCTTTACTCTTGGTCTTGGAAAGAAAGCGAGCGGCAGCATCAACGGCTCTCAGGACTCCATCGACAAAAAGGAGCGCCGGCGCTTCTCGCTTCTTCCCGCATCCTTCTCTCTCAAGTCTCTTGGTGCTTCCAAGGATTATGGAAGCGCCCATCCTTCCGAGCAAGACTTGCCCATTCAAAACCCTCGCACTGCTGACCTAGGACGAATTGTCACATCCCACGGAGGCAGCACACCTTTCTTCGACAACGCCTACGATGGCCAGCCACTCGATGCAGCTGTGTCTACCCCGCCTATCCAGAGCCAGAATCACAACCTGGCCCCTGCGGACAGGCGACCAAATGCGATCCCCCAATATCTGCAACAGGGTACGCATCTCAACAGTTCTTCCGAGACTTCAGTCGACATGCGCCAACCCCCCGCGGGAGCTCGGCAGGGACCGTACCAGTACGGATACACTCAGTCCGAGGGCTTTGACGGGCGAGCAATTGGTACTGGCAGAGGAGTGCTGCAAAAGAGCCATAAGCGATTCACGGATGCCTACGATCAGGGAGACTATCGTGGCCACGAGGGAAGCAGTGGAGCTGCTAAGCGTGTCATGGACTTTTTCAGGAGACGAGGCAAAGCCCGAGGCGGAGATGAGCGATAACGGATGGCCTGAGAAACAAAAGGGCAAAAAGAATTACGAATTCGCGCCGGAGCAAACCAGAAGGTTCGATATCTCGGCATTTTCTGGTAGCTCCGGCTCCAAGGATTCGACAGGGCACGATTTGGTGGCCTTGTTATTATCTTATTTTTCATTTCCATACAGGAGGCATCGCCGTATTTTGCCAACATCAAGTTGTAATCATCAAAGCGCGCAAAGCAAAGCAGATATCATTCAGCCTATTTAATAACTCCCGTTTTATCAACACTGGTCAAAGTAGTTTTCGCCCTATTACGGCCTACTATTGCTGCGCTGGATGGGGGAGCCATGGCATGCCTTTATTTGGCAAAAATTTTCTTTTTCTTTTCTCGACTTTCCTTTGTATTGTATTTCGTCTAGCATGATCTTGCAAATCGTATATTGCGCTCATGTGGTGGCTGTTATGAAAGCAAATACACACAGACGCCTCGACTAGATCTGGGAGTGGGATTTCGTGATGTGGTATCAGAAAGACCGGGGTACATTATTTTTTCTCCTTTTCTCCTTTTCTCTTTCAAAACTGGTAGAAAGCTGATCCAGTGTGTTGGGATTGTTGTTTCGGTATACCTGAAGTGTTATGTATTTGTACCTGTTTTCTGTTTTCTTTTCTTTTGTGTTGGGCATTTTGGCAGGACATTGAGCGGAGTCCATTTATGACAAGGCTGCGTGCGCATTTAGGTGGAAAGACATGTGTTTTTTTTTTTTTTTTTTTGCGAAGGGAGAGCAGAGAGAAGAAAGAATATGAGGAATTTTTTTTTTCCGTGCGCGAGATGAAGTTTTTCCTTGCTTGCTTGTTCTACTTGCCTACCTTGCCTACGTGATGGCCATTTTGTAAGACATGGCGGTTATAGATTCTCCATTCTCCGTGGTTTGTTGTATTGGCCGGAGTTTGCTGTGATGCATTTTACGTGATTGTAATACTACTATCTTTGGCTTTTGCGCTGCTGTATATCTTGTTTAATACATGTCTGACTTTTTGCTATATATATACTACGAGTACATTATCTGTGTAATGAATGCATTCGACGGATCAGAGATGCCGAGTCCTCTGTTTCACTACTGCACTCACCGAGAATGAAGAGGGCCCGAGACTGCATGCATTCCGCATTGAGTGAGATCATCAGCCTCGCAGTTTGTTTCACGGTATCGCGTCTTTATCAGGATACCGTCATCGTGAGCCTATGTGAATTAAAGATCTGAATAGGTGAAAGGAAGCACGGCGATTTCAGATTCACCGAGAGACGGGAGGCCTAAAAGTGATAAACGTCATAATTCATCGAGGGAATCATGACGGATGAGTTGTGGCTGAAGCTTTGCCAAGATTGAAGCTGATTGGAGAATATGTGCGATGAGGTTGTGGCGAAGCTGGTGAAACTAATGTTAGCGGAACATGACAGGGGCGGTTTATTGCCGGCGGGCACGTGTTTTGTGGCTCGCATGGAATTGCCCGCTTTGGGGGGACGGACGTGTTGAACGAGTACGAATGTAGGTAGGTATTGATGTATATTCCGTGTTCCGAGGCGGCGGCGATTTCGCATTATTCCTTTGGAGTGCGAGGGAAGCGTGGGATGGCGGAGATTTATTTCCCGGGACTGACGCGTAACCTTGTTTGAACAATAGGTCTGGAGGGCTGAGCAAACCACGGCTCCTTCTCCCGAGATACATACAACTGGATACTAGTATTGATTTTTCTTTGTTCTTAATTCAGGGGTAACTGGGAGAACGTTTGCTGGCGCGTGGGTCAGCTGTGTTGTGATGCTACTGTGCTCGTGCTACTCGAACCGAGTAAGCTTGAACGACCTTTCTTTGTGTGGGGATGGGCTGACATGGGATAGTCATGTAGGTCTTGGCGATGGGAAGATTCCAAAAGATTCGGGAAGTTAGGTCTGTTTTGGGTTGTTTGCATAGGGGTAATTTGCAGAGTTTGTCTGTCTTTGTGTACTCCATACTTGTATGCCTAGAGAACTCAAGTATATGCTTGGTACGGGATAATGATCTATCAAATGTGTTTGCGCGTGGGGATGGTATGTGTGGTGGTGTATCTGCCTTTGTCTGAGCCCCTGTCGCGGGCAGGTCTGTCTCGGGAATCGGCTTCGTTGTGCAAGGGATCAAGATGTTTTTCTTCTTTTGTTTCAGTGGCTATGTGTTACCGCAGCTTCGTACTCGTACAAACATGACGCTATGCGAGCATCAATTGAAGCTGCGGATGGCCGTCATATCGAGTAACTGTTTCGATTGCAGACGCGCGCCGTGTATTGATTGTATCATCAATTGGATGCTTTGCACGCAACGCCTGCTGGTTTGCTGTTAGCTCATGACGGCGGGCCTTCGATGATGTAGCTCCAGCGCTGGACGACGGGCACTGATTGGGCGCTATGGTGGGACTTGGCCAGCCCACCGCCTTGCCCTCCCCACTAAGCTTAAAAACCAAGATAGGGACCGTGTGGCGCGTTTTGCTGGTATTGATGTGTTAATATGTGACAGCACAGCACAGCACAGCACGTCGGTTGGGATTGAGGATGTTGGTGGTGGCTAGATGACACTGACGAGAGTTGTTGGTGTTGGTAGTAAATAGCAATGCCGTTAGCAAGCGGCGCTGCAGTACATAGAACTCTAAATTGGTGCTACAAGTACACTATTGTTGTCTCGAGTGGCGCAAAGAGTCAACTTAGTGGCCAAAAGCCGGTGGTTAGGCCGTGATTAGGCTAGCACAGGCACTGCAACACGTCCACTAGCTGTCCATTGTAGCTGGGGAATCCGGTATCGTGGCGTCTCTTCCCCTTGTCCACACAGCGTCATCCACATTCCCCGTTTATCTCACACTTCAGTCACAGCCCGCCTCTTTCCAGCTTAAAAGGGATCGTGCTTCCCTCCTCTCTTGCCAGGGGATTTACACTTCCCTTCCCATTTCATTCTTGGGTTTCCCTCCCTCCCTTTCTCTCTCTTCAACAAGTTCTGCTTATTTGTTTGTTTACACTTGTCTGCTCTGAAACTCAATACCTGTTCGATGAAGAAGGCCTCATCCGACCCTGATATAGCTACCAAAGGCTCTGATGTACAGCCCGTAGCTTATGGACTCTCCGATCGGCCGGATACTGAGCTTCGCGACCTGCCGCCCTTGAACGAGCCCGTCGCAGCAACTGCTACAACCGCAGCAACATCCAATCCAACCAACCAGACCTCCAACAGCCGCAATGGCGCTGCCGTGTCTCCCCTCAGCCCTGATGCGCCCAGCATCGTCAACAAAATCCCAGATGCCAACTTCCTCAAGCCGGCATCCGCCAAGAAGCGCTTGTCAGCGCCATCCTCGCAAGATGAGAGGCAGGGGTCTATCTTAGGGACCAAGGAAGCAGAAGCAAACGCCTCCACGACCCCCGATACAGCTAGTTTCGAGAATGACAACGACAATGGTGACGAAAAGAAAAAGCGTACCTTTGTCGAGGAATTCCGTAGATCCTTCTGGCTGGTCCTCACCCACAGCTGGTTCAATGTCTTGCTGGTCTTTGTGCCGCTCGGCATCATTCTTGCCAACATCAATGGCATTAATAGTGGCATCGTCTTTGCCATGAACTGTATCGCCGTGATCCCCCTCGCTGGCCTTCTCAGCTTCGCGACCGAGTCCGTGGCCCTTAAGATGGGCGACGCCCTTGGCGCCTTGCTTAATGTGACGTTTGGAAACGCTGTGGAATTAATCATCTTCATCATTGCTCTGGTCAAGGATGAAATCCGTATTGTCCAAGCGTCTCTCCTGGGTTCCATCCTGGCCAACCTGCTGCTCATTTTGGGCATGGGCTTCTTCCTTGGTGGACTACGCTTCCGAGAGCAAGTCTACAACAGCACTGTTACTCAAATGAGTGCCTGTCTTCTCAGTTTGAGTGTCATCAGTCTTGTCTTGCCTGTATGTTCCCTTGTCGCACAAACCCGTGTTTTCTCTCTTTGACCGCTCGCTAACTTGCTATCAGACGGCTTTTCACGCCTCCTTTAACGATCCTAACTTGGCCGACCGCGAATCGCTCAAGATTAGCCGCGGCACTAGCGTTGTAAGTTGGATTTCCTATTTCACACACAGCTTCCACCAGTTTCTAACAAAAAGCAGATTCTGTTACTGGTCTATGTCATCTATCTCCTATTCCAGCTGAAATCGCACGCATATCTATATGAGTCGACTCCTCAGAATATCGTCGATGCCGAGTCCGTTCCGGGCCCCGCTGCAGCTTGGCTGGATTCTTCAAGCTCAGACTCCAGCTCGTCTCATAGCTCGGATTCGGACGACTCCAGTCACTCTCGGGATACAGTTCGCCGTGCCATGAGGAAGGTCCTTCGTCATGGACGCAGAAGAAAGTCGTCTGTTGCCTCCGTGGAAACCAGCGATTTGCAACCTACTAGGACTTCATCCTTTGGTACCACAACTACTAGTCCCCAAGAAGAGTCTTCAGAAACTTCTTCTCGTCCACAGTTCCCCCGACTTGGATCTACCGAGACAAATGAAGAGGCTGTTGAGGACGAAGAGAGGTCTCACAGGCACAGAAGGCCTAGCATTCGACACATGCGCAAGAAGTACAAGAAGCACCGTCGTCACCGCCATCGTGATGCAGAGGGCGATGCTCAGCAGGCAATCACTGAACGACCGGAACAGAATTCGCAGAATCCTCGTGGAGAAGGAGAACCTCGCCGTGTCGACTTTGCTATCCCCAACGATCCAGTTGCGGATAGTGGCAACGAGGCGTCTAAGCGGCCATTCCCTGCTCTACGCGTCATGTCTGTCAAGAACCTGGCACCCACTGTCTTTGTCCAGAAGCCCGAGGAGGATGTTTTAGCTGCCGTCGGGGGTCCTGTTCCTCGTGTTCGTTACGGAATTCGACGTACCAACTCCCTTCCCGATAGGCTCAACCATCAAATCCGACCTCCCGGCGCCATGTTGCCAGCCCAAGTGCCCTTGACCGCCTTGACGGCGAACGGCTCTGAAGGGGAAGAAGATGAAGAACACCTCACCCAGACGGCAGCCATTATTCTTCTACTTGTTACAACCGGTCTTGTCGCGGCATGTGCTGAGTTTCTCATTGGTTCCATCGAAGACGTCGTCGCCACGTCGAGCGTCGGCGAAATCTTTATCGGTCTCATCGTCCTACCCATTGTGGGTAATGCGGCGGAGCACGTTACTGCGGTGACTGTGGCGATGAAGAACAAGATGGATCTGGCTATCGGTGTTGCCATTGGCAGCTCCATCCAGATTGCCATCTTTGTCACGCCCTTGGTCGTTATCTTGGGCTGGATCATGGACAAAGAAATGACACTGTACTTTACCCTCTTTGAGACGGTGTGTCTCTTTGTGTCGACCTTTATGGTCAACTTTCTTGTTTTGGATGGCCGAAGCAACTACCTCGAAGGAGCCCTGCTTTGTGCAGTTTATTGCATTATTGGCGTTGTCGCCTTTTTCTACCCATCCGAGGCCGATGCAAACTCGTGGGGCAGCTAGTCGCTGCGCCGATGACGACGGCTATTGGCGATTCCTCTCTTTCACGATACCCCTCTTATGTGCTTGACCTTTGAAAGGTGAAGCAAGCCATTGGTGAGATGGCTTTGAGAACAGTTTGGAAAGAGTTTGGCCAGAAGTACATTAGCATCAATATCTTATTTTAGTACAGCCGTGTGGCACATCCAAACGCACGCCTTGGTAATATATGGCGTATTTTGCGCAATCTGATAGAGTATATCCTCTGTGAAGCGTATTCATTGATGACGCGTAAAGCGTAATATTGCCTGTGAGTTCACCCACTGACTGGGCTGTGCAAGCGAGGCATTCCAAATGCTTTTGAGGCCACCCGTGGTGTACAGCCCTGTATAATTCGATTCGTCGCCAGGTGTTTCCGTGTAAAATTGAACCCACTATTTAAGCAGCAGAACTAGCGCCTCCCCGGGGTTTGCCAGAAATGGGCTAAAGGCAGGGACCAGCCAGCAGCAGCACAGCCACATGCGAGAGACGTCACGGAACGACTTTAATTGCCCTCCGCTCTCGCCTTTTGTTTAGCCGTCCAGTCCATCCTTTTTCCTCTTTGCATTCAAGTCTGGGTGTGGCTTTTTATCCTTTCCATCTTCAATTTCTTTGTGACACGAGACGACTATAAAGCCGCAAAAGAAGACGGTTCGACTAACTTGACCATTTCTTTATTTCTCCTTTCTCGCACTCTAGTGAAGCATCACAGATACAAACGGAACTGTCAGCAATGTGTTTTGGCGGTCAAAATGAAAGGACCAATGATCCTCCACCCAGGCCGGTGCAGAATCTCGAGGGCAGGCCGGATGTGAAGACGAGTCGGTATAGTGCGCCGCAGAATGGATTGGCTGGGGGAGCGGGAGGCCCGTCGGGATACCAGAGCCAGGGCCAGCCGCAGTATCAGCAGCAACAGCAGCAGCCGTCATATCAGCAGCCGTATCAGCAACAGCAGCATCAAGACTTCGCTCCTCCTCCGGGACCACCTCCTGGGAAACGGCAACAGGAAGACTATGCGCCGCCGGCTGGGCCTCCTCCGGGGCGTCAGCAACAGCAGCATGGTGATTATGCTCCTCCACCAGGCCCGCCGCCTTCGCATCAGCACAATGACTATGCTCCTCCTGTTGGACCACCTCCATCTCATCAGCATAACGATTATGCCCCTCCTCCTGGACCACCTCCTTCTCATCAGCAGGGAGACTATGCGCCGCCTCCAGGACCGCCACCATCTGCTGCCAAGGGTGATTGGATTGCACCTCCATCAGATCCCTATGCCGCTCAGTCTAGCGCGGCACACGACTGGCAGACCGCCGTCCCGGATACCTCTTTGTTCCCGCCGCCTCCCCCATTATTCAGTGGTCATGACGCGTCATATGCCAACAACGCGACTGAAGCGGAAGCAGAGGCTGGTGAGGAGTGGTGCCAACAGTATCCGCTCTCCACGCCGTCCCTGACGCTCGACCCGTCCGGCAAGCAGGCTTTGCAATCCAACAACATCCGACTCATGGAACCAACGGGCTTTAGTGGCACCTTAAAATGGCTTGCCCCGGGTCACTGGGAAGGTAGCACGGCCAAGAAGAGCCCCGACCGCTGCATCATTGGCTATCCTCCTCTCTACGTGGTCAACGAGCACGACCCCTCAATTACGAATCAGCCAAAGACAATTTACTATGAGGTCAAGATTCGGAAGGACAGCCGCACTATCAACCTCGCGTTGGGCTTCACTGCCCTTCCCTACCCGTCTTTCCGTCTACCGGGATGGCATCGCGGCAGTCTGGCTGTCCATGGAGATGACGGTCACAAGTATATCAATGACCGCTGGGGAGGTAAAGACTTTACGAACGAGTATCGTGTGGGCGAGACCTATGGCATTGGCATGACGTTTACCCCAACGGGCACTCACCATCCTCGCGTCGACATTTTCTTTACGAGAAACGGCCAGCCATCTGGCGGGTGGGATCTCCACGAGGAGACGGACGCGGAGCAAGATTTGCCTGTGACGGGACTGGAAGGCTTTCATGACTTGAGCTGCGCGATTGGAGCGTTTGATGCGACGAGCTTTGAGGTTGTGTTTGATCCGGCCAAGTGGCTGTATAGGGAGGCTAAATTTGATCTCTGAGGCTGTCGTCTGATGACGATTGAGGATAAGAAGTTGAGTCGGTTGGAATAGACGTTTTATGAGATTGGTAATGGTGGGACTGTGGTACTGAACTTTCGGAGAAGTCAAAGGGATAGATGGATTTGCGATGATGGCTGAGTATTCGATCAGCCCTTGATATAGCTCTTAATAGATGCAGGGATTTTACGAATCACTAGCTAATAAGCTTCTGGCCTTTTTGTGTATGCCTTAGTGAAGGGTTGAGCCTACGTACAGTTCCGTTCCGGGAAATGCTAGCCAGCATCCCAGCGATTGCATGAGGTTTAAGTGTCGGAACAGAATGCGGAGGGAACCCTTTTATTTCCTCATCACAGATCAATATTTAGTGAATTTTAATATCTGCTACTATCACTACTTCCTACTATTACCGATATTTTAATCAGCATCTGCTACTATTACTATATTCTTCTAGTATCTGCTACTAAAGCTATATTTCTCTATCAGTACCTAGTTTCTGATATCATCACTCATCCACCACTTATGTAAGGTAGTTACAAATTTGTGACATGGGTTGCTCGATAGCAGGTATTTGAGTCCAGGCCTTTTGGTTCAACTGTCCTATCTTCCCTCTCTTGATACCAATGGAAGCTCCATTATTGTAAACCCTATAAATGGGGAAGCAACGATACCTAAACGATGCAAACGTCTCTATTACAAAGAAATGTTATAGAAAGCCTCGGCTCATCAAATTTCAAGAGTATCCCCACTCTGTTTAAATGCACGAACCCACATTACGAACATAAAGAGAGCCCTGTAGGGACTCTCCCTTTTCTCTTCCCCCCAATCCATCATGTCAAAATTATCTTCCTCCCAACCCATCATATCAAAGCTTCGTATGTGTATAGCTCCCACATCAACGTCTCTATCCGATGGAGCGTATCCGCTATGGCCTTGAGACGATGATGCCGGATCGCTGGGAGTCTGGTGGGAGCCACTATTACTCGCATCACTGTTTGAGTGTCTATGGCCCCCTTGATACCTTCTCTGGCCGGCAGCGATAGGGCTTGCTTCGGGGCTGGTTGAATACAGTCGCTTAGACGGAACGGGGGCCGGCGTTGCGAACGGTGGCAGCTGATCCGGCAGATATGGGTCATCGGTGCCCGGCGTTCGGGGAGGATCATCGTCCCGGCTCCGGAGATCATCGTCCCGGTCTGTTGGAGCCGGGACATCAGATCCTTGAGAGCCCAGGCCGGGGATAAGCTGTTGTGCGCCATTTGAACGCAATCCCCTCTGGTTAGGTTTACGAGGGCTTGATTCCTGCGCGCGCTCGAATTTTGCCACTACCCAGCTCCTCGTTGGACAAAATAAAGCCAAAACGTGTATACAAGTTGAGGGCAATAATCTTGGACCTGACGCAAGAAGTCGCGATGGCACGCATTCGTGTAAAGGACCTTGGGTTTACGGTCCCGTTGCCGGACCAACTTGGTATCGCCAACAGCAAGTATCTTCCGTTTCGCCGCGAGGTCCTTTAGAATCGGCAGCGCATCGGCGTCTAAACCGATGTCAAACTTGCCTTGAACGACTATCCAGTCTGGTATGAGCGTTTTCGCAGTGGCCTCGGGAGAGACGTTTTCAAAGGCTCCAGGTCCTATGACGATGGCGATTCGGTCTTCTGTTGATGGGATTGCCTTATCAAGAGCAATATTGACCCGAGTGATGAGTGTCTGCAGATATAAAGCCTCAAGCTGCCGCTCGCTATAGATGACACGGGAAAAGGTGGGAACCTGCGGCTCCCACCTCACCTCACATGGCATTGAGAGGCAGTTTGTAATGAGCGGATCCAGAGATATTCTGTGAACGTCAAATTCCGTCCAATGGTGAATAAACTCGGCAAGCGGCGAGTAATGACTGTTGGTTGTATCATGATTTTGGCTATTCTCAGAAGTGTTGTCTGCACTATGGTTTTGACCACTCTGAAGAATGTTGTCCGAATCGTGGTTTATGTGAATATCCTCGAAAATACTGACCAAAACATGGCCGAATTCTTCCGGGCCATGGGGTGGCCGAAGGAATTCTTCCACTGTTGTCATATTAAATAAAGAGGAATTTGTGCTTTGCGAATCCATATTGTCTTGATGATAAAAGCATTCATCTGAGAGCTCATCCTTGAGAGGGGAAGTACAAGCAGTGGGCGCGGCTGTCACTGGTTAATAAACCGGCATCAGGCTGTAGGATCAGAGCCTGATGGGAGTAGCACATGAATGCCCAATGCATTACACAGCATCTTTAATATATGTAGCCATTTTTCATAAGTATCTTCTATTATCGCGAACGTTTTTCTTGTATCTGCTTCTATCGCCGATGTTTCTGCCTGTATTCGCAACTATGTCTACTTTTTTCTAGTATCTGCAGCTATATCTTTTTTTTATCTAGTATCGGCTTATATCGCCACTCCTTCCGGCGTCTGGCCTCATCACTATTGAATTAGGACATAGGAAGTGAGATTGCCAATTCAGACGATGGATTGGAGTTTTCCTGCAAGTCTCGGCGTAGTTGCATTAATTTAATTCAGTTCATCCTCACCACTTTCAGAGATCATCAAATTCGCCGTTTCTTTGGAGCACTTATATCACACGAGGCAGGCTTTGACCAGGGAGGGTATCGAAGCCCTTCATATGGGGCATATTTTCTCAAAAATTCTTGATAAGAATATCACCAACTTTCTCAGGGCTGTAGGATAGTTGAAGGAATTCTTTCATCAGTGCCATAGTAAATAGAGAGAAACGTCTATATTTGATGTTAAAAGCACTCATATAGGGGCCCACCTTTGAAAAGATCATCTCTTGGTAGAAAAAACAGCTGCATCATAGAAATACCATTGATTTCCTTTTTACATACTTTGCAGCCATGGAACTTCCATCGACATAACGAAAGGACTGTCGAATCTTGAAGCAGCCAGCAGACCATAATGGGAGTCTATCCATTCGCCGTTGATATAGTTACGCTAGGATTTGCTTCAATACATTAGATTAAATGGCTCCAGCCTGGCAAATCCTCTTCATCAGGTTCAACATTGAAACGGAAGGGAAATGTTCGCCAGTACCTAAACTCTGCCATCTAGTGGCCCATGTCATAAATTTTTAACTACCTACATCAGTTGCAGAATAACAATACCAGAAACTCTGAATAGAGAAATATAACCATTGTAGCAATACGAAAGTTTCTTTTTTATAGGTTATCAATAGTAACAGATACTCAAGCAAATAATGAAAGAGGGTACTTGCTAGCTAGCACTCTTGCGTTCCGTGGAAATTTAGTGTGCAGAAGAAAGCACCTGGGTACATGCAGGCATTTGTACGGTGATAACGGAGACGGCAAACCATTTCGAAGACGGCTGCGAAGCAGGCAAACACACTACGTCAGTCAGCATTCGCTGTGGTGGGATGCTGGGTGCCTAAAACCAGACTGCACGGAAGAGATGTTCTATTGGCATACAAATCCGGCTGATACACACATTTAGTAGCACCTACCTTAGGTATAGTGATAATGCTCGTTGTATCTCATCAAGGGGTCTGCAAAATTACCGAGACAGAAGAAAATAACAGCGAGCACACAAAAATACTCTACACGCACAAACTAACTACGCTAGAGTCTTCGCATCAGTGCTCTTACTGCGCAAATGCGTAGGTGTGTGTATCTGGTCACTTTCCGCTCTCGGAGTTTTTGCAGACCAGTTGCTCATTTGCCCATTGTGCCCATGCCCGTTTTCTTGCTCAGTGACACTTTCCTTCCTAGCTCTGCTGGGTTCGACCTTATTTTTCGGTCTAATCCGATTTCTTGTTGTTGGTCGGACATGGACGCGTCGACCCAGTATTATGCGCGGGAGTGGATATGAATATTGTATTAGGCAGGGTGAAGGGCGACCAGGGTAGAGTTCCCCCTTGAACGTATCGTAGTGCTCATAACGGAACTATCCAATCATGCGGTGGAGAGTGTATGATACCCCGGTGATCTCTTACCAAAAGAACCCAAATCAGTGCACGTCAGATTCAGTGAATTCTGCCCCTCCTTGCTGATGTACTCCGTATGATTGAATTGATTGGTTGATGGCTTACCTCCCAGTTGACCCGCATCAAACGGTGGTTGTACAGTAGGTACGGAAGAGGCATACATTTCCCTGGATTACTACGAGTGTGTCCTGCAACTAGGTCAGGTCGCGGTGTATGAGTTCTCCCTACAAAGAACATATGATATGCTTTGGTACATGGCTTGTTTATACATGCCTTTCTTTTTCTCTTTGTTCCCATGGCCATATGCTAATTAAAGGTACCTATATTTTGAACAAACTTCACATGTGCATTAATTAGTTTGCCAATAGAACAATTATTGTGAGGCGATGCCACCCCATACGTCCGCCCCCTGCTTCGCCTCTTTCCCCCGAGGTCCTTGTTTTTGCAATGGAACAGTCTGGTGGATCATTCCTACGGGCACTAGCGAAGCTTCTGTGTCATTGGTAGCACAGTTCAGTTTTCCTTTGCGCAACTACGCATTTCCCTCCACAGGCAAAAACACTAGCCCAAACTCGGTTCGGCGCAAACGGACATCATTCACCAGCATCTTCATAACTTCGCCATATGCGCTCCCTACCCAGATTCATTTCCTGCTTCGCTCGTTGCCATGGCGAGCGCTCAGCTGATACCATCCACGACAGAGATTCATGATGCCGACCCTTCCTCTGCGCCACTACATGCCATACCTCGTCGCGTACAAGAACTCAAAGAGGGCCAGCCCAAGGAGGGCCCTCGCAAACGGTTAAAGGCTCGCGCTCGTCGCGGCCCTTCTCGTCGGTGGCGCGAACAAATCATTTCCGACGTGCAAGACGATGAATCCTTCAACAGGCACCTCGATATCCTCAAGATCATTCGCAGCATCCCTGAGCTTAGAGACCACGCCCCTCGTTACTCGATCCTACACCATCAAATACCCACCCCGTGATTTGATTCCGTTCGAGAAAGAAGCCCGCTTTATGCACCTCTCCTACAGGGAGATACAGGGAATCAAAAGCCAGCTCTACCGATCTGTCAAAATACTGTACAACAACGGAGTCGGATACAATATCTACCCTCATCACCTTTATCTGTACGGTTCCAGGTCCTGGGATCCCACTCCTCTACTATTTCTTGGATCAGTCACGAGTTCCGACATACTAGACGTTGGGCAGTTGGACTGGAAGGAGCAGAGAGCTCATGTATGTGATCAGATCGACCGCGTTTTCGCACCCTGGAAATCTGGACCTTCCAAAAAGAAGCCGCCGACCTGGCCAAGCATGCGAGAGCAGAGATGGATCGGGCAACGTCCATCATCAACGAGAAGAACGCCGCCATCGACTCAGCGAAAGCAGACTTGACAGAAGCACAGGCTATTATGGCGGAAGCATTTCAAATGATAAAAAATGCTCGCGCTACCTTAGAGGGAGTTAATGTCACTACCAAGGAAATCTACTCCTCCGTTGTCGACCCTCAATGCGCCTGGGATCGCGCACAGTTGAAAAAGGAGAATGCAAACACAAAACTGAAACAGACGGATGCTCTTACTGACAGAGCAAATACTCTCCTCCAGAAGTATGGCATTCCGAAGCTAAATCATGGAGTGGACGCAGAGGATGCCATCTCACATTCTGATATCAAGCCAGAGGACAATGTTGAGATAAAAAACGACAGCCCAGCTATAAACGCTAAAGTTACCAACGAATGCACCGCACAGGATGAGGCTTCAACTGACCAAATCAACTCCACAGAAGAGGGTAGATTTGGCACATGAAATTCTAGACCGATGTTAATGTTGATTCCACAATACAGGACGCATGCTCAAGGAATCTTGGTTGCTCAACCTTGATTCTCAACCAAGCGTTGCAAGCGCAACGACTCATGGCACCCAGACTCGCGAGCAGATATACCTCTGACTAGAGTACCACTGTGCAACCGCCACTCACTCATCATAAGGTGAGAACTGAAGTGGAATACTATGGATCTAAAAGCCCGAAGACAGAAAAACATGTCAACGAAACCCCTGGATTTAAGCTGGGCAGAATTGGCGCCACTGGTGAGATTAGAAAGCCAGTAGCTTTTAGAGATGCGACTTGAACACATATACGTGAATGTTCCTTGGCTGTATGCTTGTTTGGCGTACCCAATATTTGCTTTGGAGGATATCACTTACTTCTGACTTTGGGCTGTGTGGTATGAATGGTGTAAATGACGACGATCCGGGTTCAACGCTCCTATTAAGGACAAGAATGTGTTGGCCACATGACTGGGGAGAAATAGTCACATGGCAATCAGTAGCATTAGCATTGAATGAAGTATGATTTCACATTCTAAGTAGATGTATCTCTTGAGAATTTGCATCATGCCTAGATTTTGATTTGCGATGATGAAAAGATGCCGCCCAAATATTGTGGTGGTCAGCATCAGCATCAGCATCAAACCCAGCAGTCTGGTACCCTTGTAGGGGTCGTCTCTGCCTGTGTCAGCAGTGCTCCCCATGCAACAGCCGTCACCATGGGCGAATTAGAGGCGTAGCTCCGTAGCTGAGGCTCGCTTTAAGGCATAACCCCCACCAAAGATCATACTCGGTACGTACTCCCGACTTGCATCTACCTAGCGGTACCAAGCCAGACGACGGCCTGCATCTGCGCCAACGCCTCTTGAAATCATCACCACCACCAGACAGGCGTCGCGTGCCCCGAAACGCACGACTTTTGCTCATGGAAGTGGACAGCGACAATGACTTGCTTAGCAAGACCGCCGCCGGAGAGCTTCCATCTTCGTACGTGGCGCATCATTGCATTTCAGCCCGTTCCAACCAGTTCTTTTCGCAGCTCTGCTAACTGATTGCTTCTTTATAGAGAGGCGTGGCCGGCCTTGCGCGACGATATCCTCGTGCGGCTAGACAAGGTACGTTTGCTTATCATGCGGTAGAATCATCAGGAAGCATGGTAGCCTATCAATCAAATAGGATTGCTAACGAGAAGCCCTGAATCCTCCAGATCGCACGCAATGAATTCCCCATACCCAAGCTGCCACCTCCCGTGCCGCGCTCTCGCTTCTTGGACACACGACTTCTCTCTTCATCATCCTCATCGCCCGCCGAGCCGTTTTCCGACGACGCCAATAAAGAGAATGCGCCCATAGACGAGCAGCCGCCATCCGCGGCCGGCACAGAACCATCCACATCTGCTCAACAACCACCGTCGCAATCCCCATCGCAGGCTCAAGAACCCGGCGTGCTGCCGAAACAGCTAGCAGACATGGTCGACGAAATCAAGAACCACATTGGCAGCTTTAAATCATATCCGCCGCATACAATCCAGAGGATCGCCGAGCTCATTCTATACCCGCGCGCACATTACAAGGCTCTACCGTCCTATCTTCACGCGTTGGATAGAGTCGCGGCCGTGACTTCAGGAACAGATACATACCCGCTACCGCCTCCGATTCCAGATATGTCCTCGATTCAGCTCAACGGGGACGAACCCAATGACCCTGCCATGGCTGTCTCTTGGGCTAACCCCACAGCAGTGGCAGTTGGTTCAGATGAAGCCCTTGGAGGGGCACTGCTAACGCCCATTCCTTGGCTCATCAGGAGAAGCACGCCACCAGAGACCACCCCTACCGAGCCACCGGCGGCGCAGATTCATAGCGAGAGCACTGAGACAATCGATGGTCCTAATGGGGTGGGCAGCATAGAAACTGTTTCCGTCAGCATCAACGGTGTGCCATCCATGGGGCATTCTAGGGGTGTCACCCAAGGCGAGCTGCTTAGGCAAGAGCAGAGGGCCGGTATCGTCCCAGTCAGCCAACTCACCAAGTCTCACGACATGATGGTCGAGGGTGGGCGTGGGGGTTCAGCTTCAGATGACCATCCCATGGATGATGAAGAAGAGGAGGAAGATGAGGAAGCTCCGCACGCGAGAGGGCCGGATGAAATCGGTGTTGGTGATACGGGCCCTCAATCCGAGACGACAAGTGTCATGGGCGAGGATGGTGTCGAGATGCAGGGCATCGACCTCGAAGCCGCCGTTGGCCGGAAACACGTCGACGAAAAAGACGAATCGTCCACGGCAGAGCCCCAAGACGAAGCCAGCAAGCCCTCCTCGGAGCGGGCGAAGAGTCCCGGCGCTGAGAGTGTTAGCTCAAAGCGCGAAGCAGAAGACGATCTTGAGGAAGATGTCGTGGCGAAGAAGGTCAAGGAGGAGCCCAGCGGCGATGGCGATACCAGCATGACATCCGATTCTGAAGAACAGAAAGGGGGGGATGAGAGCAAGGACGACACTACAGATAAGGATAATGTCAAGATGGAGGCTTAATCATATCATCATGGCCAACATGCCAGTCTTCCTATGAAGCTGGGCATTTGGATAGACCCCATATTATTCCCGCCTCTCTCTCTCTCTCAATCTCGCTTACGAATTGCAAGCACCTCGAGAAGCAGGTATCTCGAGAAGACACATGGCAAACCACCAAGTTCGACTTTATACCAAGCAGAGGACCCCAGGCTACCTCTGGTCAGCACGATGGAGTTAAGGAGCCATGCCAAGATAATGTTGCATACCCCTATTGCCACGGCAAAGGGCCTCGAGCATGAGAGTATCAATACCAGCCCTTCTATCAAGGATTCAAAAGGGTCTTTTTTAAAAAAGCTTGTTCCCTTTTTGAGAGGAAAGTATATTCACCGGAATACTTTTGGTCATGTATAATTAGACACGGAGAATTATTCAAACATTTTTATGATTATGGGCGCGGAAACAACATCCACGATTTCTATCACCACCTTATAACCTGTGTCACAGCTGGATTTTTTATTTCTCGATCTCCATCTGTTTTCTCTGAAGTAGCCTCAACATAATAGGATTCAATGAATGCAATGATGGATATAATGGATCATTTTGCTCGTCTACGTGAGGTTCACAAGTAAATCAGCATAGAACCAAATTCACTAGCAGTGCATATATATATATGTCTTGTAAGATATAACGGGAAGAAGATGAGGCACCACAGCCTCATATGAATGAATACACTACGTATATATAACCCTCCCATATCCGCCTCAGATATGACAACTTTTTCATGTAAAAGTGGCCACCACCAGACCACCAAGCAACCATCCAGGGATAAATTCCTCGTGAATAACAAAAAACGCCCGGCCCAAAAAACGCCCCCCTGAATCCTTCCCAGAGAGCCCCAGTATTACAACGTACTAGATAGCAGCTACTCAAGAGCCTCTTTATATATATCGCGCGCCGTTCTTCCTTACGACGAAGTCTAGATGAAGAGTGCACATTTGCATCGTAAATCGGGAAATGTCTTTGCCGCAGCCATCATCGCGCCAAACATGCTTGTCATAGAAAAGCCCGCCCTAACCCTTCCTCCCAACTGTGGTCAAGCGCGCTTTGAATTCACCGAACTCTGAGAATGCCGAAAAGAAAAAAGTTGAAAACAAGGCCAACCGGAGAGAGAAATCCAATGGAGAGAAAAACGCCGACGCCATGCTATTTCCTTAGAGTAAAAAAAGGTGTCATCAAAGAAGAGAGAATCAAAGAGGCGCAGGCTACACGAATCCAGGAAATACGCTCGAAACAACACGACGCCCTTGAATATCAGAGTTAGTCAGGATTCGGTCAAGGTCTCGAGAGGAAACGGGGAAATGGTCGACTCACATTTGGGACGCCTCACGTCAGGGTCATCAAATGGCGCGTTCTGGCTCGCAATCTCTCGCATGCGCTCGCGAGCAAACGACGAAGGACTGTGGCCCCCTGAGGGATGTGTCACTACCAACTCAACACCTTCGGTAGCCGTTGGTAGCAGCCTCAAGGCACGAGGCTGGGGCTTGCGCTTGGCCCGCGTTGTGGGCGCTGGAATCTGCGGCGCCGCGGGGGTTGTCGCAGGGGTTGTCTCTCTAATGGCATCGTCTTCGGATTCGGATACGTCCATAATCGTTGTCCCAGATGGCGTCGTCGACGGTATTTCTCTGATGGCTTCCGTATCTGTAACAGTTTGTTCGGAAGATGTCGGCGTCTTCTTAACATTGGGATCTTTACCCTGTTTGCTATTCTTGACCGGCGTCAACGGCACGTCGGGGGTAGTTGCATGACTGCCCGAACTGAAGATTTTCCTTCCCCAGCCTTTGAGTTTGTTCTCGCCAGATTCCATGGACGAATAATCCAAATCTATCCTTCCTCGCAATTTCCGCAGGGCCCGTTCACGGCGGACCATTCCGTTGGTAATGGGAGGGCAGTACCCGGGGGGTAACATGCAATGCTTGCACATTGGACATAGTGAGCTATTTTCGAGCAAGAATTCGTCTATACAGTCGGGATGAAAGATGTGGCCGCAGGGCAGTTCTTTGATGATGGTGACGCGATGTTCGAAACGATCGAGACAAATGTGGCACTTTGGTTGGAAATTTGTGGCGGTGGTATCGGACCCTGTTATACTTGACCTTTTACTCCGAACGCTTCGTGTACTGCGGACGCTATGCTCACTGGGAGATACGATATCACTGGGGGCATTTCGGTCGTGTCGGTGGGTTCTCCTTGAGGGTTTTCCAGAACGAGATGTACCACGCATACCCGGAGAAGAGGGAGTCGGCGGGCCACTGAGTGAGTCTGGGTCTTGGTTATAAGTGAAAAGCGGAAACCCCTGGACAAAGGTCGTCGGGACGGTGAGCCTCTTGATACCCATGGCCTCGAGATCAACCTCGCCAGATATAACACGACGTTTTAACGATATGCGGCGACGCCTCTGTATCAGGTGCATGGTGAGTGAGATGCCGCCGATGATGGCGAGTAAGGCGCCAATGACGATGAGGAAGAATATCCACAGAGCCGGGATGTTGGTAGGATTCTTCATGTTCAACTCAGTCCATATTCGAACATAGTCCTTCGGGTTGGGCCCATACAGCTGCGATATCTCTTGGCCATGGGGAATCTGGTTGACGGTTCCTGAGTAAAGGCTGAGCTGAGTCATCATTTTTTGGCCCTCGAGTCCCGAGACGGCAAAGACGGGATACTGATTCTGCTTCCTCCAGGCGCCGTCATCGTCGAGGTTCCAGACGGGTGATTGGACATCCTGGGGCTTGTTGGAGGAGTTGTTTGGCTTGTAGAAGATGAAGGCGCGGATAGGGTCGGCGCGGGCGGCGGCGAGGTAGGCCTCGGTGCAGTCTATGCTAAACCAAGGAGCAAGGGCGATGAGGTTGTAGTTGGTAGGGGGGAGGTTGGCGCGGCGAGTAACATTTCTGGGGATGAAGTCGTACTGCTGGGCATCACAGGACGGCATTCGAGCGATGTCGGGAACGTATAAAAGACCTTGAATAACTCCATTGAGGGTATCGGCGTTAGTGGTGGTCAAGGTGGTGATGTTGCTGTCGATGCGCTCCTCGTATGCTATCTGACTCTATGGGGTCCAACACTGTCAGCGGTACTTGGCCATGGTGACTAGAGAGACTGGAGGACAGGGGAACGGGCGCAACGCACGGAGAGCGCGGTAATGTTTCTGATGATGGTGGTGGGCACGGTGGTGGCACCACCCCAGACCGGATTACTGAAGAGAAGCCTGGCAGCAGAGGGTCAGTAGGCGATCCATACGCGGCGGCAGCAGAGGGGATAGGAGAAGACGAAGAAGAGAAGATGGCGACTGGTGAGAGGGACAACGATGCGGCAGTGAGAGCAACAAAGCAAAGCAGTGTTGGTGACAGATGGTGGGATCGCAGGCGTATCGTTTGGGTGAGGATGCAATTCGGGGAAATGGAGCGGAGAACAAGGCAAAACAACGCCAATGGCAAGCAGACTGGCGACGACAGCAGCGACAACGACAGCCGGAACGAGGCCAGTGAGTCGACAGGCGACGGCGACGGCCAAGGGGAGCAAAAATGAGGCATGAGAGAGGCATCTCGTGCCTTGCTGGAGGACATACACGACATTTCGAATCTCGGAGAGCGCTGTGAGACGTCAGTTGCCGGCCGCCAAGACTGGGGTCACGTAGGGGTAGTCTTGGCCGACAGAAGGCAGAACTCACACATTCTTCTAATACATATTGAGGGCGAATCGGGAGGCGGCAGTCATGGTCTACGGGCGACGGCGACAGCGCGGGGGAGGGAGAGACGAAAGATGAAGGAAGACAAGAGAAGAGGCAGAGGCAGCGCGGCGGGCAGCAGAAATGTCGAGCAACGACTGTGGTTTGCAAGGACGCAAATTGGCCTGGGGGGGCACACACAGGTCGAGTCGAGATCAGGATGAGGAAAAAAAAGAGCAACAGACGGACAGGCGGTGCTAAGCAGGGATGGCGGGCGAGGTTTTGGCTGTGCTGTGGTGCTGTAGTGCTGCAGTACGTACGGTGGCCAGTGGGTAAAGTACAGGTACAGGTACGGGGAGGTAAATTGATGGGCAACGGAGTACGATGGAACGCCGGTGCAGCAATTCCGGACTCCGTGCTGGTGCTGGTGCTGGGAGCCGGAGCCACTAACAGCAGCCACAGCGGTTCGCTACTTAAGCTGGCCGCTCGCTCGTACCGCTACCTGCTCCCACGAACGAACAGCAGCACTACCTCACCTGCAGTCTGCAGACACGCCTGAAAAGACGCCGGTGGAGGCCAAGGCGGGGCGGCTGGACGGTAAGTCGGAAGCCAGGACGATATGGAGGCGTGGAGCTGGTGTGAGCGTCGCTGGTCTGTGAGAGGGCCAGTGGGCGTTGGTGGTTGCTGGACAGTGCTGGATCCGGAGCTGCAACTCCAGCTGTCATTGACAATCGGGGTACCTTTCTCCGCTAATTTGTGCTAGGAGAGTACATGCACCCGGGAATCAGGCACAGTGCAGATGGCTGCAAGCTCGCGTGGTCCAAAAGAGAACCAGCGGGCGAATCAAGGCCCCGGGCTGCACAAAGGCGATGGGCTGCCGCTGCCGCTTCCGAGCGGGCAGGGAAAAGGGAGCCAAAGGAGCGAGTCAGAGGCGAGTCGAATCGGGCGGCTCGGGGGCTTGACTTTGACAAGTTGGTTCAGTTAGCACAGCCGCGCGAGATAAGGCACCAGAACCTTGCGTATATCGTACTGTAGCGTATTGCCAAGGACAGTACCTTGCTGCTGCTGCAGAGATTGGGAAGAAGCTAACTGGGAGTATGGACTGACGTGATGTCAGTGATTACAAAGAGTTGCGGGTAGAGTAGAGTAGAGTAGAGTAGAGTAGAGTAGAGTCGTGCCGTATAGAGAGGGGCGCTGTAAGATGGATGGAATCAAGACTCGGTAGGCTCATGCGGCATCAACCAAGACACTATTACCTCGTACTTATACACAGCCAAGTTCTTTCCATGCTCAGGAACAAATGCCGACCTCTGGTGCTACCTTTCATTACTCGTACCTACATGGAGAAAACGCCAAGCGGTTTCGTGTATGCAGAGGCATATAATAGTGGCGATCGGAGGATGCAGAGGACTATCATCCTGGCAGCCTATCTTGCTATCTGCCGCTACCCTAGCACATGTTGAAGTTGCTGCATTCCCTGTGGATGCGTGCGTAATTAATTGATCAAGGCTGCCTCGTGCTGGAGCTGATAAAGGTGTCAAGCAATCAAGGCACGTCGGCGAATTGGATGGCTTGTGTTGAGGTTATCCTTTCAGTAATGGTTGATCCATACATACAAGCTTAACAGAGTCAAGCTTTGTTCACTCACAACCATCAAGACATGCATGTAGTCAATTTTCCCACTCTACTCAATGTAATATACATACATGTATACCACAAACGAACCTTACAATCACTCTTGAATTCTACTTGTGCTTCATCTTTTCATAGTCACCTTTGAGCAAGCGACCAGGCAGGGAGCATGAAATGTCCCCTCACTCCGAACGCCGAGCACAAGGTAATATTCAGGACTTCGCTTATCAAACCACTGCTACCGCACATACCCAAAGGCCCAACTCCAAAACTCCCAGAAAACCCACGTAATCAACAATTGTCTACCTCTATAATCTTCTGACATACAGGCGCTAATCCTAGACGGGTGCTGGCGGCTCAATCGTCAATAGACCGACACAGGGCCCCTTGTCGCCAGTGAACGCATGGAGCGATCGAGGCTGCGGGCAATATGTCACTTGAGGAGGGGGACCGGAATTGAATTTCTGCCAGGTAGCAGAACTTCTGTCGCCGTTACGTTTCCTCAAGATATCCGTGACTGCAAGTAACGGATCTTTTGTCATCTCGCGCGCCCCAATAACAGCTCCGGTGGATTGTCTCTTTCTCTAGCTCCAAGCCGGCAGTTCCATCTTTCAACATCGAAAAGAGCTAAACGCCAGTGCAAAGCTGATCTCGAGCAAATGCCATTCGGTCCCGAGGTGGGTATTGCACGGGTGCGAGAGTCCCGATTGATGGCTGTCTTTTCTTACCTCCACCATCCATGTCGGATCGACGGATCTCGCCTCGACATCAACCCGAGCCCTTCGGCCTGGATGCCAGCGAGCAACGAGTTTTTGTTTTTTGTCACTGTCTACGCTTATTACTCTCGATATATCTAGAACATCTCGTGTGTAATACGGTGCTCCGTACGACTCCACGTAGCGGCCAAGTACAGCATAGTATAGGATTTTCCCATTTACTAATAGTCTAATAATATCTTGCCCTGCATACAGCTCTGCCGCTCATGCAGCGAGAAACGCCGCAGCTTCGCGCTCCCGACTTATTGTACCAGACATCGGCGAATCAGGTGGTGAGAGGGAAAGGCTTGAGCTTTGCCTGCCGGGCAGCTCTGGGCACAAGCCGTGCCGTGCCATTGGCCCCCATGCCCTTTAGCGCGTCTGTTCCCGTTGGAAGTGTTGATTTGATGGTATTTACGGTAACGTGGAAGACGCAGCTTTGGCCGGATATCGGGTACTACCTACCCTTGAGAGCAGCAAAAAGACAATATTCAAATATCCATGTCCAAGGCCTGCGGCGATTCGCAGAAATAGGCCCTTGTGCACTATCCGAGCGTTCCTTTTGCTAATGCCGTCATTTCCCTTTTTGTCTCGTAACTGCGAAACAAATCACATTGATGCCCCGCACTCATCAACTCCTACCACATACACCATCACATACGATACTATCATGTTGAGCAAGTTAGCAAGCCTTTGTATCCATACATGTATGTGCTGCCTACTCGGTATGCACGGGTATGCCGGCATGCAACGACTTGGATGGGTCCTGATATAGTGCTCACTCACGATGTTCGATTCGACGACTTCTGATTACTGTCTGCATATTGCTCAAGTAATATATCGTAATTATTACTACCGAGTATATGTACTTGATCCTTCAGTTCTTAGGCCGCCTCCTTTAGAGTTACAGCAACTCGCATCATCTTGCCCAATCCCCCTACAAACTCGCAACTATTGATTCGACTACTGCTAGCTCCCTCCACAACCCGGCAATGCGCTGCCGGGCTCCTCCTTAGAAGGCGCCTATAATCCGTTTCTATGTGCGAAATATAGTATCCAAGGATGTAGCCTAGATCGTTAATAAAGGGCATCACAATAGCAAAACCAAATGCTATCATACGAGTACGTGTAGCTGCGCAATTTCCCGTCGGTTAACCCGTCCGTAGACCTTTTTCTCCCGAAAACGAAAGCCAAGACAACGACACAGTGCATGTATTTAAGCCAGAGCGGGAGACATACAACATAATGACATACCCAATACGACAAAGGTGACGCCAAGTAGCTCGTTGAACCAGGGGACTCCGCTCTCTGAGATTTGATGCTATCTCGACTACCTTTAGCTCTCTCCATCCTCCCGCCGAAGCGAAGCAACTAGAAAATTCGCGCGTGCCTTCCAAAGGGACATGTGGAGCCAGCAAAAAAAAAAAGAGATGAGATGTCCGTTCTTTAATCCTTGCAAACTGTGACTCTTTCGTCTTTTGCTTGTGGTGAAGACGCCCGATAGCCGGCCAGACTCTCCACCGGGCATACAGCAACTAGATTAATATGGTACAAACAAAGTGCAGCCCCCATCTACACATTGTTGTGTTTCGCCATACTACACACGCTCTCCCCCCCCAAAAAAAACCAGTCCACTTTCAAAAGGGTTTTATCGTGCTCTTGGCGCATCGTGTTTCCGACCCACGTCAGGTACCCGTACAAGCACATGCATGTACTGTCTGCACATGCCATCCTTTGCAACCACACAGCTGTCCAGGCACCGACATTCTAAAGCATTTGTGAAAGATACTTTCCTTCCCCGATCCTACTGTTGACATTTCCAATTTCGATATTGGCCCCCCCTGGCCCCCATTTAATAGCTTCCCTCTCTCTATCTTTTTGCATCGTGGGTTGTTAATATGGGAGACGGGGTATCTTGCGTTACATCGGCTTTCAGGCGTTGAGTTCGGACTCCTCCCGACACGATGCAGTGGATAGCGATGTCAGATTACCATTGATGTTCAGAAATGACCCCTGTTTTGTTCACCAAGTGGTCCTACAGAATAGATTTCGCTATTACAAGCGCTCCTAGCTGATTCTCCTAGTTTCCGTCCTTCTATTGCAAATCGCTAAGCCAACCACGGAAATACTTGTTCACGACAAGAGGCCTTCTTCAGGTTACTTGATGCTAAGCTGTAACTACCGATATGCTCCATCGTCTACAGCCAGCCCGCTATTGCAAGAGTGCTTCTTGATACAGGTATCTCATCAATCGTGCCCAATCATTTAGAGTGTAGTTCCTTTTGGGAATGGGTATATATATATGGTATGACTATCTAAGTCTTTTACTTCAACATTGTGCTTTGCCTACCAACACATCAACAAGTCACTTTTGTCTTCACAAAGGGTTCAGTAACGCCACAAGGACTTAGTGAACCTTTTCTAAAACCTGTAGCCGCCGCTGTTGCCGCCGTGGTCGCGGGATCTGTACTCAGAGTCGTCGGCCTCGTCATCATCATCACGATGGTGGTGTCGCCTGCCATGGCCGTCCTCCTCACGAGATCCATATTCGCCGCCGTAGCTCTCGTCTTGCCGACCGTAATTGTTGCCGCCATAGCTATCCTCGTCCCGGCGCCCGTAACCACTGTTGCCGTAGCTGTCCTCCTCACGGCGTTCGTAGCTAGATTCGTAGTTGCTTGTTTCACGGCGCTCAGAACTGTTGTCGTCGTCATCGTCTCGGCGGCTGTGTCCTCTCCCTGATTCATCGTCAGATCCATGACTATGATGATGGTGATGATGGTGATGGTGATGGTGCTCATGCTCGTGGCTGTGCTTCTTACGATTATCATCAGACCCCCGGCTGTCACTTCTTCGCTGCTCGTAGCCACCTCCATAGCTGTCCTCGGTCGAACGGTATTCATGTCGCTCGGTGCGCTGTTCATACGATTGATAGGAGCTTTGGTGAGTCTCTTGCCTCTCCTCATAGTTGGAGCCGCCATAGCCGCCGCTTCCGTATGATTGCTGTTCGGAGCGTTGATATGAGGTTTCACGTCCACCGTCGGGGTGATAGGTTTGGCTGTATTCGGCTTGGCCATACCGATTTCCCTCTTGGCCATACTCCCGTTGGTGTTGGGTGTAAGAGCCGTCTTCTCCAGTCTCGTAACTAGTTTCTCTCTTGGTCGAACCTTGCTCAAAGGCTCCTCCCAGGAGGCTGCCAGCCATGCCACTGATGAGGCCACCAATGCCGCCATCATCTCCACCTGACTGCTGTTGTTGGGTGAAAGGAATATCGACGCCGG